TGAATATTGTATATTCTAGTTTTGATGTCCTTATATTTAGGGCTGTTGGCAGTTACAGCATAGTGGGTTATTTTGCTTAAGTGTAAGTGTATGTTGTAGTCTGTACAGGTGTGGTCTGTATAGGTAATAGTAGTGTTTTTTTGTTATAGCCTATTTCTGGATTGTGTGTGTTTGTTTCAGTTTGCTTTGATTCCTTGTATTATTACGGATAATAAAAGTGGTTTTGTATTGGTTTGTTCGTCTGTAGCTTTTTGATTTTGTGATGTATGTTTTAGTTCAGTGTTTGTTTCTTCTGTTTTTCGTTATTTTTTTGGTGTTACTAGAATAAAGTCGTCTTCATTGTTTGCTTCTTTGTGTTCATGTTTAACTTCGTTGGTTTCTTTGTGTTCATGTTTAGTTTGGTGCTTCTTGGGGTTTTGCGTCTGGTTTGATGTGTTCTTCTCCTTGTTCAGAGGTGTCAATCACCTCTATATCTGAACTGTCTGTATGAGTTTCGGTGTTAATTTTATGTACGGAGGTCTTCTTGCGTTTTTGTTTCCTCCAACGTCTCATTTTAAGTGTGTAGTCCTTTTTGGCGAGGTTTATTAGGCTTAGTAATTTGTGTTAAGTCTTAAGCAAATGTTGGTTGTATCTGTGCATCCAAACCAAACTTACCTGTAGAATGGCTAGTGCTGGCGTTTGACATGGTTCTGTACTTCCTTGAGTCTGTCGGGCTTGTTCTTCGTACGCCAAAGACTCCCCGCCGACGGTGGTACTGTGTGTTACTGTCCGTTTCTTCCTTCTCAGTTTACACTATACTTTACCAACAGTTAATTTGAAATTGACGCTCAGTTTTCCTCACGGGGTACTTGTAACAGCTGGATCGAATATAACACTTACGGTGGTTTCTTACCTAAATATGCTAGAGTTAGAGAAACACTTAAATTGCATTTAAGTTTGTTTGTTTGTTTTGAATTTCGCGCAAAGCTACACGAGGGCTGTCTGCGCTAGCCGTCCCTAATTTAGCAGTGTAAGACTAGAGGAAAGGCAGCTAGTCATCACCACCCACCGCCAACTCTTGGGCTACTCTTTTACCAACGAATAGTAGGATGACCGTCACATTATAACGCCCACACGGCTGAAAGGGCGATGCATTTAAGTCTTACTTTTATAATTTAGTTAATTATGTATTATGTTTATTATAAAAAAATACATCTTTGAACGGTTTAAGGATTTTTATAAGTTTAACTTGTTGCCTGGATTGTGAAAGGTTATAGATAAGATGGCGTGTATAAGCGTCATCTTGTTTCGGCAACGCGTCTCTGCGGGGAGTCTGCCGAAATACCTTCATAAAGCCCCGTGGGCTCAGTTGACGTATGGGCATAAATGATAATAGACGAAGAATTTGAAAGGAACATTAAAAATAAGATTTGTAAGGCAAGATTTTCCTTTCGTGAAACCATGTTGACTATCCAATAAAATTCTAAACTTTGTTAAATGACTTTTCAAAGTATCTTTTATCAGACTTTCCAAAACTTTTCCCACAACTGATGTAAGAGTAATAGGCCTATAATTACAGGGACAATTTTTATCACCTCCCTTGAAACGAGGAGTGATATTAGCTAACTTCCAATCCTTTGGCACCTGCCCACTATTCAAGGACTTACATGTGATTATATTTTCCTACACTGCCCCTATCTATGAACTGTTCAATATGATGAATGCTGCCTAAATGTAAATCGTTACTAGTAAAAACTGAAGAAAAAGCAGAATTTAATAACCCAGCCATTTCACAACCATTAGATACAAGCCTTTCTTTATCATCCCTCAAGGGTCCTACCCCATCCTAACATTTTGTTTATCCTTAATGTACGAAATCCTTATTGTTAATTTTTACATTTTCATGTCCTAATTTCCTGTTTGACCACATTTTTTTTTATCTTCTGAATCTCCCGTCATCCCAGTCAATTTAAATTTCTTAAATTTATTATGCTTTTCTTTGATTTATCTTTTGTGAGCCAACCTGGTTTTTACTTGTAGCTACCCTTTTCTTTCTATAATGAATATGTTCATCTTGAATAGTTAAAAATTTTCCACATCTGATCAGTGTTTCCAAGTAACACAATTACCCACTTTACAACAGATAATTCTTGTTGCATCCCTTCAAAATGTGCTTTTTGGAAATTTGTAACCAAAATATTGTTACGTCGCCGTTCGTTAGTTAATTTTCCGTAAATTTCGTTCCGACGAAACTTTAGCGACGCGAGTCCTTTTTTAAATAAAACTGGTTTATTCTTTCTGAATACAACTTTGCGATACCTTAATTTCCACAGTCACGCTATAACAAACGCTATAATTCACAGCGAACGTCTCACGTGCTCAACTCAACAATACTCTGTCCGCAGTTCAATTACACATTGATCCCGTCGCTTCTTGGCCGGTCTTATATGTACAAGACTACCTCATATCTAGTAGTCTCCCGACGCTTCATGAACATTCTAGAAGCGCGAGGCGTGTTACTAGAGTCACGTGAGCCCGGCTGTCGTAACAATATCATTATTCCTGATATCCAAATAACTCATTTATAAATTAAATAGCATTTGTCTTTGGTAATGCAACTGTTACTGTTTATACGTTTTGTTTCAAAGTCCTGGCAACGGTTAGTGTTTAAATAAGATAAATTGTAAAGTTAGTAAACTCGTTTTTACTTATGCTTATTTATAAATGTACTTATTTTATAATCGATGTTAGTGAGTACTTGCCTGGTAATAAAACGTATGTTTGGCATTTTGAAATGAAAATGAGGTATTCATAAGTAATATGTACATTTGTACCATGTAAACATATTGTTACGTCTCCGTTCGTTTTTATAAGAAAAAACAAATATTCATCAGTTGTTATTATTTACATTGATGTTAAGGAATGGATTGTTAATATAGACAAATTCAAAACAGTATCACTAAATGAAAAGTGGATTAACTAACAAGAACCATTTAACACAAATGTAAGTGTTCCTTGAGTTCAGTATGTCAAATTTCTCACCAAAAGCTCAATACACATACACGTACGTTTACTGTCAGCAAATTCTCTCAACTGTAATTCCTGCTGACAGAAGTAACAAGCATCAGTAACGCTTGAACTCAGTGTCTTGGCAGCAAAATTAGCCTTCATCTTCTGAACCTTCTATGCCACGTGAGTTGGCTTTAACTTGTGCCCAAGACGTAGGTTTTCCTCTTGTTGCTGTTTATGACGCCTTCTAGATGTTGCCATTTCACCTTTTCATCAGCGACTTTGTCATATGAACCGTCGGTGTTCTTGATCAGTTTCAGCTTTTATATTAAGCAAGCTACATATTGTTACGACAGCGGAGGTCACGTGACTCTCGTAACACGTCATGCACTTCTAGAACGTTCATGAAACCTCGGGAGGTTGCTAGATTTCGGTATTATTGTACATATAAGACGGTCAAGACGTGACGGCAACAATGTGTAATTGAACTGCGGACAGAGAGAGGCGTATTGTTGAGCACGTGAGACGTTCGCTGTGCATTATAGCGTTTGTTGTAGCGTGACCGTGGAAATTAAGTGTATTGCAAAGTTGTATTCAGAAAGAATAAACTAGTTTTATTTAAGAAAGGACTTGTGTCGCTAAAGTTTTAGGGATAGTTCTTCCGTACTTCTGTAAAAAATGAAATGTTTGTTTTTTAGAGCAAAGTCATATTGGGCTATATGCTGTGTCCAGCGCGGGGAATAGAATCTCGGATTTTAATGTTATACGTCTGTAGACTTACCGCTGTCCTACGGGAGGGGGGGGGGGGGACAAAATTAAAAGAAATTCTGCTGTCGATTTTTTTTTGGCATACCTTTGTTATTTCCTCTATTTCTGATTTACAGTAAACATCTAATATACACTGTAATATAAGTTGACAAGAGTTTTTTAAACCCAAAACATATTGTTTTTGTTAACTCAATTACATGTAGTAATGCTAGATCTTTCTGTGGTATGTGTTTATGAGACCACACTTTATATTGTGAGAAGTAGTCAATAAAATTATGAAGTATAATCACTATTCAACTATAGAAAAGTATTTGTATTTCTCATTCAATGGTTTTGATTTTAAAACAAATTTCAATAGAAAGCATTCATATAACATAATCCAATTAGTGTTGGGGTGGCACTAATCGAGTGTGATAAGATGGCGGGCGTGTAGCTTCAAAACAGCGCTGACTAAGTCCATACAAATCAGTAGGAGAGACATACACTGCATAGTGCGGCATTCTTAGAACCTTCAGCGGGTCCTAACTGTCCGTTCTGTGGGAAAGCTGCGTAATGTGAAATATCTAGTCAGTAGTTCAAAATTAGGAACGGTGTCAGATGGAATAAAGTGGATTTGTCATAAATGCAAATACTTTTTTTTTCCACATTATGATGTCCCTCGGTGGATCATCAGTAATATTACGGTCTTGCAACCACTAAAATAAGGGGTTTGATTTTTCACAGTGGACAAAGCGCAGATAGCTCATTGTATAGCTGTGCACTAAAAAAAACACAACAACAAAAAAAAACACTCCACTGCTTACTAACTTCCACGCTGCTGTTTAGTTGCACTTACTTATTGTTAGCGGCTCCTGTCTATTTAACAACAGTGCATTTCCATAATTATTTTATTATTGTGTCTTTTAACCACATTTTAAAATAATATGTAATTACCAAAATAGTGTCCTGATCTGATTCAGTTAGTAATGAAAAATAAGTAATGCAGAAAACTTCGGTAACTGTTTATTGGAAATAAAATTAATCAACATTAGCCAGTCATATGATTAAGAAGAGTGATGATTTTTTAAATTCTAAAAATCTTATAATATTCAATTTTTTACTTATTATTTAGGCCGTAATGTTTATTTTTTCATCTTTACTTTTTATGTAGATAAAATATATAAAATTCTCATAAATATTGAAAATATATGGTTGTAAGGTGGCGTTATTATTGGGTACGGAAGTAATAACGTAGATCGGTAGGGTATTCGATTTGAATTTAAAAGTGTTTTTATTGCGAGTTTAATGCCCGCAATCTAATTCATTTTGTAGCAAAAGTGTTTTAACAAGGTATAATATATATGAAAAACCATCTAAAGCTTTTATATTCTTTGAGGGAGCTACTTTTAAATTAAAAGAATACTGACTTAAACTTAAAACTAAAAGTTAAGAGTGGGCAAGTGAGTAGAGTAGATATACATAATAGTTAATACAGTAGATGAATGATTCATTGAACGCGTTGCAACTTAAAATTTACATGTTGAACTTGAAACCTCGCATTGGCTAGCCCTACAATACAGTTTATCCTGGTACAAACATTACCAGTGGTAGATACAGGGATAATAGGTCTACTTCACTCTTCAGCCTTGGCTGCAAAGCGTAAAACTAAAAGACTGTATATCCGCTACAGAAGAATTATACTTATAACATAAGTAAGTCATTGTACTTTAATAGTTTAAACTTCACCTTTCTGGTCGATTGTAAAATTGTTTTAGCTAATGTTGAGGTGTGAAAAAATGTTATACTCACAGTTACAATGTTATATTTACAGATATTTGTTATAAATATAACCTTACTACTTAGGCTTATTAGTATTACCCGAGAATTAAATGTCACAGAGAAGTAAAAATGAATCCTTGTTTAACACATTAATTTATAAAATAGTGTAATGTAGCTGGATCTCACCAGGTTTCCCTAATTAAGAACAAGAAACGTCAAGACACTTATCTTGGTAAAAAGCAACACAAAGAGCAGTATCTTTAAAAATGGTATAATTTACTAGAAAACATAAAACTAATTTGCATATTTAGGAATATGAAATTGTAGTGGACCAAAGTTGAATAACTATACTTGGGCCCTATTAGTATTAATATTAAATATAATATGAAATTGTAGTGGACCAAAGTTGAATAACTATACTTGGGTCTTATTAGTATTAATATTGAATATCATATAAGAAGGAGCAACCAGCCTATTGTTTGACAGTCATTATATAAAAACTATATTGTACATTTCCTGTGCATCACAGGCTCCTACAGGTTGTGAATCTAACAAAGACACAAAAAATGGAGGGAATATGAAAATTAAATGAAAAGTGAAATCTTTATTTTAAACAAAAAGCCATAAGTTTAATTGTATCAAATTTGTTTGTTATTAAAGATATGCATTTATTACTTGACTTTTTTTATTCGTATGAAAAGGCTTTTAAATTTTTCCAAGTAGTATAATTTTACAGATACATTTAAAAATGGTTATATATATATAGTGTTTTATATATCTTTGTTAATTAAAACTTTATAAAAATTACAACAAGCATGATTTTTAATTTGCTAGAAATTCATTGCTTGACCTGTATAACTATATAGAGAACATCTTAGTTAAGTTTGAATAAGAATATCTAACCCTATATAAATATTAGATGCTCCAAAACCTAGTATCCTGTATGAGTAGGTATCGATGAAATGATCGTTGTTTGTTGTTAGACCTGAAGGTATTTCAATAAAATGAGCTGCTATAGGCTGCAGATATGTGTTTCTTATTCCGAAGCTGAAAAGAGAATTTCTAAATTCACTAGGCTTGGATCTCTCCTTGGGCCATAGTGAGCTTCTTGGTTATCAATAGATTTCTGTAGTAGGAATTCAGCTTCTAAAATTAATATTGAAGTTGTTGGTCCATTGGATCATTAATGCTTCAGTGAGTGGTATATTGCTATGTGAAAATAGAAATGTTTTATTGTTTAAACACAATTGATAGTGAAATATGTTAAACTGTTCTGGAATCACAGTTACTAACCATACTAACCTTTATGTGCCACTGCATGACACTATGAATTTTATATGATATAGGGTTTAAATTACAACTGTTAATCTTGCCATATCTAGAAGCATGCAGCCAGAACTTTCTTAAAATGGGTGGTAACATGCTTCTACACAGCTTCTTGGAAGAAGAGAGTATTTACCAAGTGGATTGACCAGTATGCTCATTGGACTTAGATGTATGTGAATTTATATGTAATTGTCAGGAAGTGTGTTTGGCAGCTTGTTATTTACATTCAAGCAGTGTTGATGACCGAGAGCAACTAATGGAGTGGGTTGTATACATTCTCAGGTTATTTATTCACATCCAAGCAGTGTTGTTGACCTAGAGCAACTAGTGGAATGGGTTGTATACCCCATCCCAGTGTACAACCTGCATTAGTCTGAGGTGACCTTATTAACAAGCATTCTCAGGTTATTTATTTGGCTGAAAGTACCAAATGAGTAATTATGCTCATCACATCCCACCTGGTTACTAACATTGTGTACAAACAATGAATAGTTAGAATATAGAAAACCATAATTCACCTTTCTTTGTTTTCATCAGTGTAGGAGATGATTCTTACGAATCTCGTACAAGTTTTAAAGTATGAAATAGTTGTAGACTATTGTGGAACTCTCTTTGAGTTACTATAGAAATAGTAAACTATTAAGCTCAGAGATCTTTATCATATCAATTTTTTAAAGGTTCCATAGTCAAGGGTCATTTTAAATAAGTGTGTTGTAGAGAAACTAATGAAGAAGGTTCCTTAACCAGTAATTATTTCAATAATAGTTTTGTAATTTAAGTAATAAAGTGAAACATGAACTGAATTGTTTTGATTGTGTTTGAAGGTTTCTTAAGCATTTTAATAAAATGTCGTAGTTTAATTACTGATAAAAACAGTCAACTGAAAGTCTTTTAAAGAAAATTTTAGGCAGTGTATTTCTGTTTTAAATAATTCTCTTGCCATCTGTCTATCTTGAAGATAACCAAGATTTTCTAACCAATGAGTATTTTAATAAGTGTCATAATGTAATTAGTGTTTTTAAATAGCATGCTTGAACCAAATTTGTTTTTTCTGAATCACTTAGGTTCCTTGTCATTTGTGATGAGTACACTGTGTGTGCAGCAGATCAACCGTTGTGTTTTAGATTACTTATGAAAGACAAAAGGTGAAGATCAGTTACATATTTCTGAAAATTGTCAAAAAATACAAATAAACCAGAATGTCTGAACCAGCCCAGGTTAGTTCTTTCCCACTTCCCCCCTTGCAGTTTGTCAACTGGTACACAGATGAGAACATTGAACGAGGGAGAGCTCCTTCTCCTCCAAAGCCTGTCCTGGATTCCTATACAATGTTTGGTGTGCATCTTCAGACTGATGATGTCATAATAAGACCTTTAGAAAGTCAGGGAATCCGCCGTCTCTATCCACAGAACTATGATAATAAAAGAGAACTAAAAAAACTGAACCATTCAATTCTTGTAAATTTTCTTGATTTACTTGATATATTGATAAGGTGCCCCGATACTTCAAAACGAGAGGAGAAACAAGATGATATCAAATTACTTTTTATTCATATGCATCACTTGATAAATGAATATCGACCTTACCAGGCAAGGGATACTTTACGTGTAATGTTGGAAGTGCAAAAACGACAACGCCTAGAAACTGCTGAACGTTTTCAAAAACACTTGGACAAAGTCAGGGAACTTCTACATAACACATTGTCAAGTCTTCCAGAAACAGCAGATTTGGATAGCAATCTCATAGTACCTGAAGAAAACATGGATACTACTGAAGCTCATAAAGCAGAATGCCAGGACTGTTACAGACTAGATAAATTAATGTGTAACATTATTGATGCAATTTAAATGGATTATTTAGGCTTGTATAAAAATAATGAGTTTTAAAGTTATATACTTATGAAAAGGTGTTGTATTTTAGTTAAAATCCTATGCAAATAGTTCAAAGCAAGAACCTTAAATTAGACTTTTTATCATTTGTATGATACTGTACATGTGTCTGATGTAGATGTTCCAGAACAAGGGGTGCTGAAAAAACAATTTAAACTTCTGTTATGCAACTTACCTGAATTAAAACTTCTAACTGTTATGCAACTTACAAAACTTCTAACTGTTATGCAACTTACCTGAATTAAAACTTCTAACTGTTATGCAACTTACAAAACTTCTTAAGAATCTTGCACTTTGTTTGTAAAGTCACTGTGATGTTTAAATTTTTCTAGTTACATCTTGATCATTTTGCAAACAACACAACCATGTTCATTTACTGTTACAAAATTTAGTAAAACTGACCTTTAACAATTTTGACATTATCTCCTTCAATTAGGGGTTTTGGGTCTTATTACCATATTTGTAGCTATTTTATTGTCATTTTACGCATGATAAATTTTTTTTTCTTTGTGTCTAGAAGATAAAAATGATGTTTCTTCCTCATAACCATCAGAGTCTGCATAGCATATTTGATTGTAAATAAAAAGTCAGTTCTTTTTGTTATAAATGAAAATGTTAATATTCAGGTTTATATCCAGAACAGAGAAAATTGTCCTTCAATAACACAGATGAAGAAATACTTAGCTGTAATCAAAGAAAGATGTCAGTAATGTGGTTGGTGAAGATGCATGTTTTAGGGTTGGAAAGAAATAAGAGGTGAATAGTTTCTTTGAATTATAGTTTTTTCACACATCAACTTGTGATAACAAGGTTCAGAATATAGAGGAAGGAACAACTTGTAATAACAAGGTTTGGAATATAGTGGAAGGAACAACTTGTGATAACAAGGTTTGGTATATAGAGGAAGGAACAACTTGTGATAACAAGGTTCAGAATATAGAGGAAGGAACAACTTGTAATAACAAGGTTTGGAATATAGAGGAAGGAACAACTTGTAATAACAAGGTTCAGAATATAGAGGAAGGAACAACTTGTAATAACAAGGTTCAGAATATAGAGGAAGGAACAACTTGTAATAACAAGGTTCGGGATACAGAGGAAGAAACAACTTGTGATAACAAGGTTCAGAATATAGAGAAAGGAACAACTTGTAATAACAAGGTTCGGGATATAGAGGAAGAAACAACTTGTAATAACAAGGTTCAGGATATAGAGGAAGGAACAACTTGTAATAACAAGGTTCGGGATATAGAGGAAGGAACAACTTGTAATAACAAGGTTTGGGATATAGAGGAAGGAACAACTTGTAATAACAAGGTTCAGGATATAGAGGAAGGAACAACTTGTAATAACAAGG